ACAGCTAACACACCAGTTCTACTGTGACCTTAGCAAGGACGTACAAGGCATGTGACCTAGTTCTTCCCGTTTGGAATCTTTGGTCACGTACACAATGATAGACCACCCGTTTTAAATGTCATCTTTTCATTTTTACCTCATGTATTTGAGATCAAGTATACATTCAAATGATAAAAACACAAAACTTGGTTTTTGTTACCTCGCAGAGACGACCGTTTTCTGTGAGTTTAGGGTGTTACATTGTAACCGAAGTAGCTTGCATAACCTGTTTTACATTGAATTTCATTCTTATTGCGACATTCAACTTACGATGTAATGCCTCAGTGTATTCACTAATAACAAACGTTAACACGGTTGGAAAAATATTACGTCACACAATTTCGTCACTGTTGTTACGCAATTAGTCAAATAAGCATTTTGTTTGTTTTCAGATATTCACTTACAGCTATTGAATGGCTGTCTGTGCTAGCCATCTATAATTTTGAACTGACAGACTAGTCGGAAGGCAGCTAGTAAACAGCACCCTCCGTCAACTCGTAGACTACTTTTGTCTGACTAAATAGTGTAATTTAACAGTCACCCATATAACGCACCCACGGTTTCAAAGTCCGGAGCGCGATTTTTATTGTTATTAATTTTTAACCGGTATTAGGAATCGAACATAGATACTTCAACATTCCGGCACGCTAACCACTGGGTCATCCGGTATCGGGACTCGAACATAGATACATCAATATTCCGGCACGCTAACCACTGGGTCATCCGGTATCTGGACTCGAACACAAACACATCCACATTCCAGTCCGCTAACCATTGGGCCAACCGGTATCGGGACTCGAACACAAACACATCCACATTCCAGCCCGCTAACCAATGGGGCAATCGGCATCGGGACGCGAATACAGACACATCCACATTCCGACCCGCTAACCATTGGGCCACTCTCGTCCCTCAAGTAAGCATTATATTCAATGTGAACTAATAAAGTTAAAGCTTCAAATCAGACATTAATTTGGAACAATCATTTGAAATACAAAAAAAAGGCAAATACTTAATTTACCAAGTCATTAATTTAGCAAATCTTACTGTTAAGTAATAATGAGGTCAACGTAAGATTAGAAAGTAATACATTTGACTGTTATGTAATGTAGAGTTTTTATTCACGCATATGCTTGTCTTGGACTTGGAGGATATACTCTGTCATACTATACCAATATTTATAGATGATATAGTTCGTTGAAACTTACCTAACACCATTCTGAAATAATAATAATACTGTGTGAATAGTCGTAATTTGCTAATTATTTCCTAACAGTGTTATGGTTTTATCCTCAACGCGCTGACAATTATCATAGTTACTGGCGAGGAATCTAGGCCTAAAGAACTTAACAACGAGTAAAACAGTACACTAGTAACTTTAAAATCTTCATTCTTTATAAACATTCAAATAGATATACTTACAAAAGCTGTTACGGCTCTTACCAACTACGGCTTCACCTTTCGGCAATACAGCTGTATTTTTTTCTTCTTCACTTTTAAACCTAGAAACAGAAAGTTTGACTTTCAATTACACTGTTCACTTATACGGTAAGGTAAGCAACAAACAACCAGTTTCAGAGTAGATACTGCAAGGAAACGTCGCACATCTTGCTAAATAACCCACTAATCACAGCAGCCACTGGATGCCCAGGGCGGCCCTCCCACGAATATTCTTCCAGCCCAGGATGACCATAAAAGGTAGTTCCAGGCGAGTACAAGACGCGTGTTTTGCTTGCATTGCCAACAAACTAGCCGAGCAAGGTCGAAGATGATTCGCCCCATCAGGAATTTGTACGATCTGAAGGAGGGATCGACTAGAATCTGGTACAAACTTTTCTTCCAGGAACTTATTTTTTTGTCGCAACAGTAAAACTTTTAAAAAGTCGACAATGTTGCAAAGACACTAAAACAATTCTTGGAAAAGTTGGGGTATTTTTATATAATTCTTGAACGTCTTGAAATGTTAACTATAAAATACTTTCAGTTACGAATAAGATAGGAAAATGAGTCTTAAAACACAGCGACAACATCTTTATTACATAAATTGATATAGCATATTGTTACGTCTCCGTTTGTTAATTGATTTTCCGTAACTTCGTTCCGACGAAACTTAAGCGACACAAGTTCTTTCTTAATAAAAA